CTTCATAACAAGCGACCAAGGTAATAGTTTTTCTCCGTTGTTCTCACTTTTGTAATTGCACCAAAAATCCAAATTCGCAGTACTTTCGACGGCTGTTAATTAAAAATTATTTTTCTTCACATTATCTGCCAGGTTTTGTTAGCTGTCCTGCTGTGTAAAATCCTAGAATCCCAATGAATTTTTAAAACTTCACCGCTGCAATGTTTTGATTCTTCATTGATCCAGTCCAGGCGAGTCTGTTCACGCGTTGACAGTTTTGATAGATGTGTGACATGTGAATAGTGGAAGTCCCTTGTCTTTTCCGGTTTGTTCTAACAAAATTAAGTTGGGGAGATTCAACGAGATTTTGTGGGCGTTTTTAAAAAAAGAATTATTCCACTTGTGCTTGTTGGATATGAGATGATTATAGCCAACTTGGCGCTGCGCACCTTGTTGGCTACTTACCATCTCATATCCAATGCATCCTTGTGGATTAATTGTTAAATAGTAACAATACTACTAACTATATGTTCTTTGGTACAGAGTCAGTGAAATGAACTAAATAATGAGTTCAAGAGTATTTATTATATTATTTTTTAACATTAACAACACCTGAAAGTGAAGAATGATCATCGCAGTAAATTTTCCAATTTAAGCAATTGGAAAGAAGAAGCCTGAAAAAAATCAGGGCTTCATCGGGATTTGATTTTTTTTTCAGGGTTCTTCTTTCTAATTGCTTAAATTGGAAAATTCACTGCGATGATCATTCTACACTTTCATCTACAACCGCAGTTCAAAAATGAATTATTTCATATATACTTCACATCATTAACTACGCCTCTAACGCCTCTAACAATTTCAGATGTTGCAACATTCTACGACCAAGGATAATTTCTATCCCCTGGGAAACTTCCACTTTAATCATAGGATAGATTTAACATAACTTGTTTCATCTCAATTTTAAATCAAGAACACTATTATTACATGTAACAATAAATAATAGACTTCCAAACTTGCCTAGCCATCAATGATCATGATTTGCACCGTATAGTTTTTTATTCATTATTACATTGTTCGTTCATCAATGGTGCCATTTCTCACTAGTTAAATTGAAGCCATACATCTGCATCTAGCAGTGAAGAAAACAAACTAGAGTGACTTCAACATACACTGTATCACATCGGCAACAAAACTAAAAACGCAATTCAGCCAATAACTTAGGCCCGGTTCAGAAGCCAATCTTTTCATGAGCTCAACCTAATAAATTGAATAAATTACATGAAAAGTTCAGCATCTCAATCAATTAGGAACACCTATTTCAATTTGCAACGACTCAGCAATTCTTTCACTTAGCCCGGCCGGGAATTTCGACTGTGGAACGCCTTTCGAATGGCTTTGATTCAGACGCCGAACTCCTCATGTACCGGACCTAATGCATAAATTATTAACATATTTTGCAAGCAGTTTGACTCAGAGAGCATGCTTTGTGGAGTGTATTTGTCAACAGAAATGGCGGGCATGGAGAGCAAGTCTCACCAGGGACGATATGCGCAACTCCTGTTTTTCAAACACAACATACACTTAATTAAAATGTACAATTCCGATCTGTAATAAGTGCTCAACATTTGAACTTGACAAAAACAAAAGAGATGGGCCACGGGGCGATCTGTTGGGTACTGCGAGCCCTGTTTTCGGGAAAAAAGAGCAACCTGATCAAGAAAAGGTCAAGTACCTGTTGATTGTGGATTAATACCCTGATAACTCGAGTTCCCTGCTAACTTGATCTGTTTTTCGTTTCCCTTCAGAGTTCGTATTACCGGGGTTCAACTGTATCTCAAAAAGCCGCAAATAATATGATGTGTAACAAATATTCCAATGTACTCAACCCCATACAAAGTTCATTTCTTTGAATCTGGATCAACAAATCCCTATTTTAAAATCAAGTGCAATAAATAGTTAATAATATTGCAAAAGCATTACTATAATAGTTCTAACCCTAGGTTACCCTAGAGAAGCCAGCATCTGGACAGCCAGAATCATTTTCATCCCTCCCCCAACCTCTTTTCTAGAAAATTATGTCAGTGAAGGTAGAGCAGTGACATTTTGAGACCAAAATAAATAAACACAAAGCTTCATATTTTAAAGCCACTGACCTAGCTATTGTCACATTTGTGTCCTTTCCAATACTAAAGTAATGAATGAGCCTAAACATTCTTCCAGTGACCATCTTCAGTCACCACAAATACTTGCAATTTGCCAAACGTGATGATAACATCATTTTTTTGTCGTTGGTAATCCAACAAATAATGGTGTTATCATTAATTGTTTCATCTCAGTAACAGCAGTGAAGAACGAGACTGATTTTCAGTGTCAGAAGAGGATGTAGGTGAACACAAAGAAAAGTGCGGTAAGTCATCAAACAAGAAGCAGAAAAAACCGGGAAGAAAGCCGAGGTGGTCTCAAGAGCTGCTCAATGACTTTATTGATATCACTGTGAGCACTGATGAGTACAAGACAAAGCTGGTATTAAGGAAGTTTAAGTGCCAACAGAATGGGGAAATCTATGGGAGCATTTGTGACGAAATGAAAGAGGACTTCTGGAAGAGAGGAAAATTTCTACTTTACCATTGATCAGATGAGATCCAAGTTCAAAAAGTGTGTTTCAGAGTGTAAAAAAGGTGCTCTTACTATTAAATCTGGCACTGGGATTAAACGATTCCAAGAAGATAAAAGCTATGGAGAATGGTTTTGTGCTGCAAAAATGAAAATTAACAGTTACTCTGGATACAAGCCTTTAAACACAACAAGAAATAATAACAAAGTATCTTGCATGTTATTTTATCACAAATCAAACACTTCACTACCACAGAATAAGCAGACGAGATGTCTTTCATCGACCATTTCACATTCTCAAGGGAATTTTCCCTTTTTATTATTTGTGGCTAAAATACTCATGCACAAAAAGAAAAGGAACAGTTGAGTTCACTTTTACTACATTGTCTACTTTGACAAAACAAAACACAAGCTAAAGAGGGCTATTTATGGCTCTATATTATGGTAGAAAGACCATGAAATGTTGACAGTTGTGTTGGTTCTACCCAGAAATTTGAAACTGGGCATTCTGCTGGCATGTGCTCTTTTAGGAGCAGTTTCTAGTAATTTCTTTAAAATGTTGGCATTTACAGGACACCCAACAACGTTTTAACCAAAATACCACCTCAGCTACATACTCTACCAAAGGATCACTTAAATTAATGTGATCAATTTTTATGAAAGGGAAGACCTCACAACTACAATGTCTGAATGGGCCTCACTGGGCCCCATTAGGACATTTGCCCAGTAAACCTGCCTTTGTGCAGTTAAGTGTTGTGAGTTGAGTGTCTTGGCCTGCAAGTGAGACTGATGTTGATTTTATACATTACTTCCATACTACTTTTTCTTACATCTATTTTGAGCTTTAAATGTAAACAACAACAAGGATGAAATTTATGTCAATAACTTTCACAAGTTTGGAAATTAAACATTCACGTTAATGTTAAGTTAAATGGATGCCCTTGTTAGTAACGTCACCTTGTTAACTAGCCTCCCATACAGGCGTTTTCAGGGGAGCTTGTATTTTGTCCCTCCCCAGAAACGTCTGTTCAACCAAGAATACATTCCTTTCTCAAGCTAACCCAATCACAATCTACTTTCCAAATTCTAGAAAGTTGACCTTGACCACAGGTAACCCGATAATTACTCAATCACAAGGAAGGCTACGTGATAATAAATGTCACACTCAGAGCGGGAAAAGGAAGATTTAATCAGATTTTAGAATACTCTGTGCACTTCATACATGTAAATTTAGTAAAGGAAAGAAAGGAAGGAAAAAAGCAACTCTGCGGTCAGGTTTTTACACTATCACAGGGGTATGAGTAGTGTTTTGCTTGTCAACACTTTAGTTGACAACTGTTGATTGGTCACTTACCACGTGAATAAACCTTCTACACAGGCTATGAGAAAGGAATGTTGTTCTCAGTTTAGCAGGTGTTTGTGAAGACGAAATATGAGCTCCCGAAAAACGTGTTAAGGCTACTCCTTAACACTAGCTTTGCCTTGTCCAATGTGGGATTTAAAACACCCGTTTAAAATGTAATTCAAAATCAGCCTCAAAAAAAGTTTCTTCATTGTTTGAGAGTAGCTGGGCCTCCTCCTTTGGATTTAACAGAATAGACCTGTCTGTTTCTCCAGAAAGAGTTTTGCTGCAAGGGCATCGCGTATGACATTAGCTTGGTGCCTGGAGTCTAACCTGCTCACAGGATGTCATCTGGAATAGTTCAAAGATCTGCTGCCTATCTGGCTCTTGATTTTTCAATTCAACTTTTCTGAGGTGTCCCCTCTATCAATGCATACTTGTGTAAAACCATGCATGCAAGGGTTGCCACTCTGACTTCTTTGCTGCTCTCACATTTTCCTAAGAGAATTCGCCAACTCCCTCTGAGTTGTCTATTCTATAACACTCTTCGGTAACCATTCTAGCCCCACTGAGGCGATAGTTAAAGTATCTTTGCTCTGGTGTGAGAACAGCATTGTCGTATGACTTCATTAGCCATGGTTGGAAGGGGAATACTGAAACACCAACCACTAAGGGGGGCACAAGTACTCCCATTAGGTTTGCAGCTATTTTAGGAATAAAGGTTCCTTCTTTAATGTCAGATCAAAGTTGTGTGGATTGAAATATAGTAGTATCGTGTGAGTTGCCTGGAAGCCCACAGGTACCCCAAATGAAGCGACATTTCGAGTCTAGCAATGCAATACGATCTTTGTTTTAAATTCTTCTGGTGTTTTAGGTAAATGCTTATTTGCGTCCTGCATGTCCGAGGTTCCAATCATCCTGCATTGCATCAACAAACTTAAAAAGGAGATTCGGTAAACATAAAGTAAAGTCCACCATGTCAAATGTGAGCTCCCCTTTGTCCTCGCAACAAAACTTGAGAAACTTTAAGCACTTGCTAATGATCGGTTGTGCTTCTCAATAACTTCTACAGCCCCCACCACTGCCAGTGAGCCACAAAAAAAAAGTTCTTGGCAATGTTGTTTGTAGGATCAAAACAGACAATTGCCCTGCTCTTATGCGGTGTAATCTTTTGATCACTGGCTTCACAATTTGTTGGTTTCATTGACTAAGCATATTGATTTGAGTACTGTCTGGCTTCTTGTCGAAGTAATAGTACCAACTTTGTTTGTTCATAATGTGTTTTCTACAGCCTCTTTGCATACTGAATCCATCGTGGTTACAAATTTGCACTGGGCAGTAAAAAAGACCATCACTGTCATCCTCTTCTAAGCAAAGTATCTTTGGTTTAGGCGATGCATTTACTATTTTTGACCAGTTGACATCCTTACCTCTTCTGTTCATCTTAAGCATTAAGTGGAAATCGATATCTTTCTAAAGAATGCAAGCACTTATACTAGCCAAAGGTTCCCCAAGAGATCCTCCTATTCACCTATTCACTCATCTCTGCCCAAACTCGGTCATTCTTGCCCCTTGCCCCATGGCTTCCTTGTCTGGATCTGGTACATAATTAATCAAAAGGAACAAAGTCACAAGCCTGAACTTGCATTAGCCAGCCCAAACGACATTAAGCATGTAGCAGGTAAGTCTAGTGCTTAACCTGATTGTCCAAGGGTATACGTTTTGATAAATATGTATAGAGGAAGTGATGGACAACAGTTTGAGATGGCCTACGATAAATAGGAACTATTGTCCTATACTCCTTTTTACACTTTGCTCAAAATGGAATCCTCCTTCCTTTGTCACAAATTCGGAACCTGTTCCCCTTTATACGCAGAATGTAACACTCCTCTTGAGGAACAAAAAACCACGTCAATTGGGAACAATTCCGTTCCTGTTGGGCATGAATAGGAACAATTTGAACTGCAAGGGAACAAGACCCTCTGAACAGCAGATATGCCAGTAAATTGGAAAAAGTTGTTCCTTATTGTGTCGAGTGAGAAATTAGATTGGGAACATTTGTTCCCCAATCACTTCGAAAGGAACAGGAAGGGAAATTGGAACTGTTGAAAGAGGACCTTTGTTTCTTAAACGATAAAAAAGGAACCAGTTGTTCCTTGTGACTAAAATGAAACAAAATTTGTATTATTATTGTTGTTGTTAATACTTTTCTATTTTCATTTCTTTTTTCCGTAAGTCCACCTCTTCTCAGGAAGGTCCTCAGCAAAGTCTCATTTAGTATTCAGTTATCCGTTAATTCCCTTCTCGACACAATCTTTGAAGAGGGTAAAACTGGCAGTTCACGTGGATTTCAGTAGCTGGAATTCATCGCAAAGAGGGTTTTTCAGTCAGAGCATTTTGCAGCTTTTACAGATTTCATGGAATCAGGATCAAGTCGCTAATTTAGGTCAATAGTCTTCAGTAATAGTTGTCAATTGTCACGGTTTTGGATTATGTAATAACTGCGACTAAAGTTGGACAATGGATAAGAATGTCAGAATTTGCCTACTGGGAAAATTTCATTGATATAATTATTAACAGTGAAGTCACATGCTTACTTCGATAAAAGCACATCACTTTGTTGATGTTACATCAGTCTTCTTTACGATGGGGAAGCAAAGAGAAAATTTTCCTTATCACCAACTGAACAGTGAGAAAATTAAAAAATATTAAAGGAATGCTATTTAAGTCTGATAGTTGTGGACAAATGTATTGTCGTCAGTTGTACGTGTACAGGCAATATCGATGAAGGCCTACAGGAAGGATGGAATGAGGTGTGCAGGACGTGAGATGCCTGTGACAATGCATTGCAAGGTTTGTACTCAAAATGACTTGAATTGTCAATTATGAATCCTTGTGATAAATCCATTGGTCGAATAAAGAAACCTGATTTTGATATCATCTTTTGCAGGAGTAATAAGTGTGGCCTGTTTGTTTAGTGGTATCGGCACACAAGGGCCAAAGAAAGCGCAGAAGAGAAATAAAACAATCCTGAGGATAAGGGAAACGAAAGTGATAGCAAGTATTTCACAAGTCAAGTGTTAAGTTCTTCAAGCTAAAGCTGGATTTCTAACCACCCAGCCTTGGTGAACAAAAAGCATCTTCCTGCAATAAATTATTGGATTGCGCTGAGTATACCTAATGGAGACCCAGCAAATCCTATCACCATTCACCGTGACTTACTTGAAAAGTGGCATTCACGCAGTCGCAAAGATGGTACGTTTTCTCTTTGTCCCTCGTAAATCATTTTTACAATGGTACGGATCTTTTAAAACAAGAACTTTATTTTATTTCAAAATCAGTGCTTTGATATCACTTGTGGTAGCATTTTCTCATACAAACATTTACCGTAAAACAACATTTGATAAGCGTTTTTTGAGTTTCTGTTTTTTCCCACAAGTTGGTGATTACAACAGTTTACAGGGAATTTTTACAGCGAACACTTCTAGCATGGTTTACTTGTAGAATTTTCTTTCAGTATAATTGCATCCCTGACGGATGCAATAGATGTCTAGCCCCACTCTAGTCTAAACTGTTACCAGTAGTCTGCAGAATAGTTAACATACTGTCTTTTACGGTTAGTTTTTGGAGTGTATATCAAGCTACATATTTCACAGGATTCTGAATCAAATTATTTTCTCGTTCTTGGCTCCTCATCATGTCAGAGTCGTTTCTTATAGCAAAATCAAGCTTTATATGGCCTAGCCTTATTTGGTTTATAGTTATTTTTTGTTTTTCTCTAAATCTATTATAAATTGGCAACCACTTGCTCAGTGCATCCAGTTGGTTCAGTTGGTGTACCTAAGGAGAGCAAGTCCTCAAGTCAAGTATATATTTTCAAGTCTCCCACGGATGTGTATTTATCAATAACATTTGGTATGTTACATTATTTTCCTATTTCTTTATTATTTTATGCCTTTTAGTTTGGTTTATTTACTTTCTATTTCCTTAGTTTTCAACAATATTGTTCTTATAATTTAGCCGCATTTTCAATAGAGTGTTTATCTCATTTGACCTTTAGTCTGGCACAGCAAATAATTTGCCTGTTAAACGTTCTGCTATTGTTCTCACCAATAGTTACCGTATCATTGCTTACCTTTGTTTCTAATCATTTTCTGTAATTGGTCCCTTGTATTCAATCCATGTTTGTTCAAATTATCCTTTTGTCATTGTTATTTTCGTGATTTAGTTTCATTGCCCCAGTTAGTATTAGCTTAGTCATGCTCTATTGTTATGCAAGACACGTAATGCGAATCCCTGGTTTTTGTCTATTTTGCACTTCATGTAATGTTCTCAGATTATACTCAGCTTTTAGATTGTTAACATTTTTAAGTCACTTTTATAGTTTCTTAAGCAATCTTAATTGTACTTTTTAACATGCAATTTATTAGCGAGCATTATGTAATCAGCTATCTAGTCTTATGTTGGTGGCATTAGAGCAACAGCTTCAGAACCAGAATGGTCCTAGCGCATCTGCCTCTGATTCAAGTTCCGCAAACCCTGGCCAGATGACAGTGAAAGTTCCCAGAGAGCGCAAACTTGGGAAGTTTGCTGGCAGCCGTGACGATCGCATCCTGGAAGAGTGGATTGGGGACGCCACCCGGGCCATCGCTGGACAAACAGATGCTGATGGCATGGACTTTTTGCCCTACCACCTGGACAGTGTAGCCAAGGAAGAGGTCCGCCTACACCCCGCTGAGAAGAGAGCCATCCCCGCCACAGTCTTCAAGGTCCCGCGAGACTGTTTCAGTGAAGGACTCACTAACACCCAAGCCTCATGGAAGTTCTTTAAAAAAAGACAGAGGGATTATGAATCAGTTTGTGAGTTCTCCCATGCCTTCATGCTACGTCTACCATGGTTGGAGCACCTGGATGCAGCAGTGGTCAAGGACAAGCTCCTAAGAGACCAGTTTCTGGAGAACTTGGCAGATCCCCAGCTCCGAAGAGATATCGAGTGCTGCGTTGACACCACCCCACCAAAACCTTCCAAGAGATCAGAGATGAGGTTCAGTGCTGGATTGACGAGGACCCCCCCCCCAAGAAAGTCTGTTGTGCGTGAGGCCACAACAGGAAACCCCCCTCACAAGGTTACCTGTGATGAGGTGAAGGGAGCTGCTGACCTGCCGAAAGTGATAAGTGAGCTGGTAGTGGGACAGAAGATCCTGGCAAAGCAGATTCAATGTCAGCAGGCCGCTCTAGAGAGGCAGCAACAGGCCATCTTCCAGCTCTCCATGGGTAGTCAACAATGGTGACAGCCTGGATGTTTTGGCTCTGGGTCATGGACTCATCTCAGCAGAGACTGCCCTAGTAATACCAGACAAAACCAACAGAGTGGCGGCAGCAGGAACAGACGATCTGACAACAAGCAGCTGCCGACGTTAAATGAGAAAGTTCCCCAGCAGTGAGCCATGCCGTGGAGGGGAACAGTGGCTCAAAACTTCTACGTAATGATGACTGCATGCCAATACATATGGTTGGTGGTACCCCAACAATTCAAGCAAGACTTAGCGATCTTGACATGCTGTGTGTAGTAGATTCAGGCTCCATGGTATCAAGATTTCTATAAGACGAAACTCCAGCCAACCCGTGGGCACATGAGGAAAGAAGGGCAGATGCTAACCCTTCGTTCTCCAAATGGGCTCGAGATTCCATACCTAGGCTACCTGGAACTGACTGTAGAGGTTGATGGGGTGAAAGTACCCAGCTGTGGAGTACTGGTCCTAAGAAACACCCCAGCCACTACCAAGCAGAGAAGAGACATACCTGAACTCCTTGCGACAAATGTTTTGGTGCAGATTCCACAGTTTGGTGCCCTGCTCCAGCAACGGCCTGATGCCGAACCAAGGACTTCAGAAAACCCTTCCTAAGGTGTCGTTGGAATATACCCAGTAGTAGTCCCCTCAAATTCTGTAGCAAGTGTTGCTGTCACTGGTCCAGCCTGTGGTCCCAATGCTCTAGTCGAGCCCCTCAGTGTGCCAGTACCAGGAAACCTCCAGCTAGCAAATACCTTAGTTGACGCCTCTAAGATGTGTTTCATGATACAAGTAGCAAACCCTTCCAAAAGGATGTATGGCTAAACTCACCTTGGAACGGTACACGGTGCAGTTACGGTGACCAGTGGAGAGAAGCTACAGTTTGATGTACAGAGTAATGAAGTAATAGTATCTTATGCCCTGAGTGCAGAGCAGTAGAAGCCTACCACCCCCTCAGGGAATGACATCCCTGTACATCCCCTTAGAGCAGAAGACCTACCTGCAGAAATCAGCCTAGACGATTTCCCAGGAACCCCAGCAGAAAAGCAAGAAGCCTTGCGAATCTTTACCAGTTATGCAGACGTATTCTCCAGAGAAGAAAACAGCCTTGGCAGAACGACTATGATCCAGCATCAGATTCCAAACTGTGAAAACATACCAGTTAACCAGCACCACAGACGCATTCACCCAAATCAGCTAGCTGAGGTCAAACAGCATTTACAAGATCTGCTGGATAAAGGTGTAAACAGACTCAGTCAGAATAACTATGCTTTCCCCATTGTCCTAGTCCAGAAGAAGAACAGTGCCCTGTGCATGTGCGGTGGATTACCGCCAGCTCAATGCCAAGGTGAAGCGTGACGCTTACTCATTACCAAGGATAGATGAGACCCTTGATATCTTGGGAGGTGCTAAGTACTTCTCTACCATTGATTTGGCTTCTGCCGAAAATCAAGTAGAATTTGCCCCTGCTGACAGACATAAGACAGCTTTCACCTCCCCTTTCAGATTGTTCGAATACAACAGGATGCCATTCAGATTGGGAGGAGCTCCTGCAACGTTCCAAAGGGTTATGCAGACCATTTTCCGAGATGAATTGTTGGAGATACTGATTGTCTACCTTGATCACATCACTGCCTTTAGCCAAGACATCAGAACCCACCCGCAGCGCCTCGAGATGCTGTTCTGAAAACTGCAAGGGCATAGTCTGAAGATTGAGGAAGTACTCTGGAAGTACTAGCTATGGATTTCACCCAGCTTGAGGCAGCTTCAGATGGCAGAGAGAATGTGTTAGTAATCACCCATGTGCTTAACAAATTTACAGTCGAAGTGCCAACAAAAGATCAGTGGGCCAGCACCGTAGTCAAAATCCCTGGTACATGACTGGTTTCTTGTGTATTCTTCTAGACTCGGCTCTCTCCCAAACTCCTTTTGAGTTGCGTTCTTTTCTTCCTTATAATGCATTATTCATACTGAATTGAGGGAAAGAGACACACCTCTCTCTCGGTCAGCGACCGATCATTTTTTTCTTCTTCTTCTTTAATGCCACCCCAAGGTACAGAGCGATACTACTCTCTATGACTGGTCATTCATTTTTGTTTTAAATGCCACCCCGTGGCATGGAGCAACACCGGTCACTTGGATTGCGACCGATCCTTTTTTTAACGCCACCCCGAGGCACAGAGTAACACCACTCTCTCTGTCTGCAACCGATCCTTTTATTAACACCACCCTGTGGCACAGAGCAACACTGCTTTCTCGATCCGTGATAGCCTGCATAGCAATCGTTTCGGTGTGGTTTAGGACCAAAGAACGAGGAAGGAGAGTCAAACACCGTGCAAAAAAATGGTGCCAGCAAAAGAACGGGGAGGGGGCACCCCGTGGCACAGAGTGACACTTCTCTCGCACACCACGACCGTTGTTATCAATTTTTTTCCTAATGCCACCGCGTGGCACTGTGGACAATTACAAAAGCTGATCTTCTGCCCTGGCTATCAGAATACCTTTTTCAACTATGAAGACTAAAGCTCTCCTCAAAAATCTATAAAACGCTCATTGTTTTCTCATGCTTCAGTACAGAAACGCGCCGACTTCTTCCTCACAGGCAGCTCTTTCCAAAACTTAGCACTTCCTAACCCCCTTAGCAAGAAGCTCACAAGAATTCCCAGGAGGACGTGTTTGGACACAGAACCGACAATAGTACAATGTGGGCTAGTAAGTTAAACAACAGCTTTTGAAATTCACGTTTTCTGTGCATGCATTTTTGTCTTTCACCATATTAGGGTATAGTGGAGGGACAAGGGTTAATGCAGGGCAGAAACGAGGTTCCAGGAAAAATAAACTCTTTCGTTTTTCACGGACAAAGGCCTTATGGATTGTGAGACAGAGGAAGAATTTCAAGTGCAGTTGGCATCGCTTAAGGACGTCTGGATTGAGCAAGAGAAAGCCTATCTGCCTGCTGGGAAGCAGCCATCATATCACCAGTATATCTCGGAAAAGGTGACAGGGTTATCTTTTTTTCAATGTAAAGGCTGGCATGCTTTATTCTCTATAAGATACATCATGCATTTAATTTATGTTGTTTGTGTTCCATGAAAACTATTACTTGCAAATTGCGCGCGTGCAGCGGAGCGCCATGGGTAACAAAATTTGGTAAACTATCCATCTGAGAAAATTTGGTTATGACGTAGCGTACGCCCGCCCACCCGTCCGTACACACACTTCATGTAAGCCGATGTCAAATGTCACGATAGATTTTGCACAACTTGACTAGCCTTTCAGTTTTTCAAGCCATCTGTATGAGTACGATTAGATTGACAGCTGTCAAAATCAGACATCCGCTGACAATTATCACATGACCATCTCGCGGGCTCAGATGACAGACCAGTCGTTTTGCCCCTACATATAAGCTGATATAATATGTCACACTTACCAATTCAACATAAAAAAAAAACTTCGCACGGCAGGGCTGTCAGTCAGCTAAACTTATATTGGCAAGCCAAATTAAGGTCAATTGACAGCTGTCAAAATGGGACATGTGCAGACCACTATCAGAAAACTAATAACGTGGGCTCAGGTTCGCTCAGGTACAAGATCTGGCATTTTCCACTACAAGCCGGACAGATATGTCTTACTCCCACTTGTAGCCTGTTAATTCGAATATTTGCCATTCTAATGAAGGTTAATTGACAGCTGTCAAACTAGAGTATATGTTGACCACCATCACCCGACTGTATCGCGGGCTCATTTTTCTATCCATTGAGGTCACGTAGTTTGTAAAGTTTTCTGCTGATACTTTATTTGATCACAGGCTCAATTCGAAGCCCCATAGCTTAGAAAATCTATCCATCCTAGAAAATTCGGTAATCATGTGACCATATACCTACACACTTTCTAGCTAGTATGGGAGCCTGCAACCTGATATTGATTAATTGACAGCTGTCAAAATAGTGTTTCTGCTGACCAGTATCGACTGACCATATCCCGGGCACAGGTATCGACCCACTGAGTTCGTGTTTTTTTGAAGTTATCCACTGACAAGTTGCTACTTTTCAAATGATCCCAGGCTGAAGATCAATTTTTTTTAAATGTATATAAAATAAGTCGTGTTCATGAGCAGCACTTTTCAAAAGTTGCTGCTTTTCAAATGATTGCAGGCTCAAGTTCAATTTTCTAAAAATGCATATGAAATAAGTTGTGTTCATGAGCCACACTTAAAATTTTGATTTCGAACTGACCTCAGACGTGAAAATTCAACTGGGTTTTACATGTAGGGAAGGCAATCGCTTTTGACTTTTCTCACTGTTACGCGTTGATCACGCTCTACGTCCAATATTTGTTCTGATTGGTCAAAATTTGACAGGTGAGTTCATGCGGAAAATTTATGCAGCGTCTGGAAACTTGCTTACTGATAGCTGAAGCTGACAGACTTTTGTGTCATCTTGTGATGTTTTAAACCGTCTGTTTGTACTTGATATACAAAATGAAATACAGCTGCTATCAAGATTGTTCTGTAATTCATGGCTGGTTTGCTTATTGCGCTTTTTGTTGACAAATGCACTGCTTGTCAAAGTCATTGGAAATCCGATTTCGGATGACATCGTTTTCAAAAATGAGCTTACTCACTTGCCCTTGCTTGAGGGGTAAGAGGGCTGAAAAGTCTCAAGCGATCCTGGAACACTTGATGACCTTCGGAAGCAGCATCTCGACTGGTAAGCCCGAGCAATTATTGTCTTTGATGTGTTTTTTTTTTTGGTTTCCTGAAGGGGAGCGTATGGTTTATGCGGCTTGAGTTTGTAAACGAGCAATGATCTAACCTACAATAGTATCAAGTCTAAACAGCCTTTAGACATTTTTCGACCGCAAATTCAAAGAGAAGGTTCCGAATAATAATTTAGTTATGATTTTGGCTGTAAACAGAAAGGTCTGAGCGATTTTCTTGCCTAGAGTTCATTTGAAAAACAGCAAACACCAGGAAGCCGGCTTAAAACATAAATAAGCTTATGCTTACCTGACTCATGATTTTCAGACACTTTACTCTCAATACTTGTCTTCGTGAATGAAAATTACTGTCTCTGTACATGTTTCACCGAATTATATTAATTTTATTGATTGTTAGTAGTCCCTCTCGCAAAAATTTTATGGCTGCACCAGTTGTTTCCAGTCGAGCATAAACATCGCATGAAGGAATACTCAAAACGCTGCGCGTCAATATCACTCACTTTTAAAGAATACACATAACAAAATCATACACAGTTTTATAAATAAAGGGAAACCAAACCTAAACATAATAAATTGTCTATCATGTTGAAGCGTAAACATTAACTCTATTAATCAGCACTGCAAATTTGGTGCTTGTCAAAAGTGAGAACCCGTCCGACTGGTTGAAAAGGTAGTTTTGGGAATTTTTTTTATCGTTTTCACTAAAAGCCCATAATTATTACCTTGCATATTACATAGGACCAGATTTTTCTTACTGAAAAGTCCCGGCATTATGGAATTCTCTTCATGAAATCGTTCTATAATGTGGTCAATGCTATAATTTGTTGTGCAAAAGAAGTGCGTGCTTTGATCGTCCTGGATATCGAATGAGTGCAATTTGTCTTGCAAAATTGTGAAAAACTGTAGAATTATAGGTTTAAATAGGGCAAAAAAGAACAAAATTCTGTCCAAGGTCTGTATGATAAAAAAAGGGCCTCATAGTACTGTTTACCTAAGACGTGATGAGGAAAAGTATGTTTTAAAGGCTGGATTACACGCCACTTGTAAAGTAAACTCGTCGAACACAAAAAATCTGGCCTCATTTTTTATTTTGGCCTCCCTTTTAGACAAAGGACTATCGTGGCGCATGTGTTTCTTAAAAGTATATTTTGGGATTATCCAATCATCCAGTCTCTCAAACGGAGCAACAGCTAATGCAAATACAAAACATGAATATGTCCATTTGTTTTCCAGGCCTAATCTACTGTGATCGAACATGATTGCTATTTTTGGGTGTGCAAAGAAGACTATTAACTCGATGTAAAATTTGTTTTTACTCTTGGACTGTCAAATTATTTTACTCTAAAATCACTTAGCCTTTGCCTCAAAAGTCACATGAATGTGCCCTGATCTGTGGATTACAAGTTTATTGTTTTATGTAAATTGTGAATTTTTTAACGGGAGCTGCGCTGTTAGCTCTGGCTAAATCTATATATTATATTCGTCAATTCCTCTTGGAACGGCTATGAACTCACTATCTTTGGCTGGAAAAATACCTTATTTCACGGTGGAAATTTGGACAAGGACTGTACAATGACTATAATATATTTAAAGATGCCTGCCTTTCTAAGCTGGTCGAAAGATATACATGGGAAACTAAAGGAACTAAAGGTTTCAGCTTGAAGTCCAGGGCAGTACAACGATATTACATGACAGCAGAGTTCAGAAGTCTATTCCTCCGTAACTTGCGAACCATGGTAGGATATGCTCAAGGAAATAATGATCAGGTTGACCTCCAACAGTCTCAAACAGCTAAAGACAAACAAGACGTAAAAGCAATGGTAGATCTTATTGAAAGTAACTGGACCAATCCATTCAGCAGTTACCAGCCCCTGTTAAGTATTTCCACGGGTGCCACTGCTTTACCCGAAATTAAACATGACCTGAGCAGAGCATACCTAGTAAGGGAGACTGCCTTGAACCGGAGAAACCACCGATGAAGTTCAATCATACACTGACAAAGCAAAAGTTAAAGACTTCCAGTGATCATAATAAAACCAAAAAGGCGAAGCAGAGCAAAGGCAACGAGACAGTACTCCCATCCTCGGAGACCCAGGGGCAGTCAGTCGGGTCGATAAAATGTTCGTGGTGAAAGTTTACTGTAAGATCGAGACGAGCCCCTGGGCACTTACTCTTACCGAACCAGTTCCAGAAGCGTTTGAATTGCCTGCTTCTGATTGGCCAGAAAAAAATTTTTCTGGCCAGTCAGCGAAGAGAAGCTGCCGGGTGACTCTCGTGTTGTCTTACACGACGTAGTTTTCCTCATCGATCGCTATAGTTGCGTAGCGCGTTCAACGGGCAAGTTCCTCGAGGAAAGTTTCAGAACAAAATGTTAACAACCCGCAAAAACTACTACCTTTAGCACGGCTACAAGAAACAAACACTCTCCGATGAATTTTTAAGGCAGATCTTTCCAAGGTATCGTAAATTTTTATTGCTGATACGATACGCGATGCATGACTTTCACTTTCCACACCTTAATTTGCTCACATTGTTTAGTATACAACTCCAAGGTTACATTTTAGACGTCCATGTTCGTTGCACGACTTCTGAACTTTCTACAGCGTGAAAATTTCCGTTGCATCGGCCACGCAACTGCGTCGATTGATCGTGGGAATTGCTGGCTTGATGCAGTGCGCACCTTCTTGCTTTCGCAAAACTCCCTTACAGTAAGTACTTTAAATACAGCCGTTGTGTTTAGTTCGAAATCTCGGTCCGGTTATGTGCTGAATCGCGACTTTTTAAGTGAGGTCGATTTTTGCAGGCTGTGTGGGTTTGTTTTTACGGATAAGCGAAGAAAAAAAAAAATAAAGTTGAGTTTGCGAAAAATGTTTGAAAGTGGTTGGTGTGAAAGTTTTGGAGGCGATAAAAGGCGCAGGGTGTGACACGTGTAGGTATAGAGTTGAGAAATCGTGGAAGGGTGGGAGGTCTATATAGATATTTTTGTAGTCACTAAAACTTTTACAAGAGGTGAACGCTCTTAAGGAAATTCCAGGAGAAGAGACCAAGGAATAGGGACACTTTCCAAAGATCCAACTTCAGCTCTTGATTTCAAGGACCTGGGTCAGGGTCTGGCTTACTGGGTTAATCTTCACTGTGATTAGAATTATGGCTAATATAGTACAAATGAATTTTCATTATAAGATATCTTTTAACAAATACATGTATAAAATTAATTTCACATAATATGTGATTTTTTGCCAAACTTTTTATCTATGATTGGCTTGATGTTTCCCCCTACTGACCCCCTCAAACACATCCACAGTGCCATTGTTTTAACTCCCTTGCAATTGATGTTACAAGATTGGACTTATTTTGAAAGAATAATGCTGCAATATTAACAATTTTCCTTTGGTGCATTTTTTTGATATTTTACAACTTCCCTATTATAATTCTCCTCGTCTGACAATAATATTCTTCATTTATAATTATTTTTAAATCTTTAAACACCCTCTTCAGAAAGGTAAAAATCTTCATTGCATGGTCACCATTACACACAGTGTCTCTAAAATACCTTCCACAGTACATAATTTATGACAATTAACAATTATTGTTTCCTATAGAAGACAATCAGAGAATACAAATTCTAGAATACAAGCAGTGAAGATTTGATTCTTGAAATTCTTGTCTCAGATCATCTTGATTTTCTTTAAGCAGACTAACAGTCTTTGGCACTGATGTCACAACATAAGTGGCTTGGAATGATTCTGCTGTTTTCATTACTGTCATCAAAAAAGGAAGGATTTTTTTCTCTTCTGCAAGTTGTTGTTAAAATAAAATAAAATATTGAAGCTCCCTAGTATTTCTATAAGTCAAGCAGTAGTATAAGTAGACATGTGAATTCCAATAATGATAAAGTAAAAAAAAAACAATCTCAACAGCTTAAAAATAAAATTAATGTAATGGCATCTGTAGTTCTGTATTACGGGATGTTTTTCCATTTGTAATATGTAAATGTTCAATTGCACTATTATCTTAAGCAGTCACAAGGCTTACTTTATCAGCTTTTAATTGTCAATAGATGGTGACAAAAAACATGATAATTCTTGTGAAGTGTCTGTCAGCTTTTAGACAACATTACTGAGCATCCTTGAATAAAAGCCAGATCTACTGTTAAGTATAATGAGGGTCCTGTAGAGGGGATAACAATCCCATTGAAACTGTTTAACCCTCAATTCCCATTTTTACATTTTTTTCCATTCTCAGTGATAGAATCCCCCTGCTAGTGACTTAAATCCCATTTTACCCCTTCAGAACTCCCCACAATGAATCCAGTGTAGTACCCTTTCTAGTAAACAAATCAGCATACTTACCAATGAACAGCTGTATGTACCTGCAACAGGATTCTTCTGGTAAAACTCCGTAGAGAACATTGCCCTGAATTTCTTGTCCCCCAGTTAATGATTTCGGGCTTCCATACAACAAAAAAAAACGCTCCCTATCCATTCAATATTTCTCGATCTTTCGTTTTGCTTTCCCTAAGTAAGCGCCCTGAATTCCTAGTGACCTCGAGTACTTTACCTGGTCCTCAACAACTGACATGAGAGATGAAATCACTATGACCAAAGGATTACAAGGGAATTCATAACCTTTAGCATCTAACGATTTTTAAACCCCTAGCTTACAGGCAACATTTGGAAGGTTAGACTCTTCTATCAATTGCCCAAGAACATCTCTTCTTTTCACAATCTTCTCAATAACAAATCTTTGCAAGCCTTCTTCAAGCGCTTGCTGGACGTTCCTCGAATCTAAAGTTAACACTACTATCAACTTCGCAGAATTAAACGGTCAACTGCTGTAAGCTTTTAAGCTTAAAATTTGGAGCAAAAGCAAGAAGAAGGCACTACAGCTATGCGCTAGCCGGCATTTCCCACGATCAATCGACGTAGTTTCGGGCTGCAACGGAAATTTTCACGCTGTAGAAAGTTTCAGAAGTCGTCGGCAACGAACATGGACATCTAAATGTAAACTTGGAGTTGTATACTAAACAATGTGAGCAAATTAAGGTGTGGAAAGTGAAAGTCATGCATCGCGTATCGTATCAGCAATAAAAATTTACGATACCTTGGAAAGATCCGCCTTAAAAAATTCATCAGAGAGTGTTTGTTTCTTGTAGCCGTGCTAAAGGTTGTAGTTTTTATGGTTGTTAACATTTTGTTCTGAAACTTTCCTCGAAACTTTCCCGTTGAACGCGCTACGCAACTATAGCGATCGATGAGGAAAACTACGTCGTGTAAGAAAACACGAGAGTCACCCGGCAGCTTCTCTTCGCTGATTGGCCAGAAAAATTTTTTTCTGGCCAATCAGAAGCAGGCAATTCAAACGCTTCTGGAACTGGTTCGGTAAGAGTAAGTGCCCAGGGGCTCGTCTCGATCTTACAGTAAACTTTCACCACGAACATTTTATCGACCCGACTGACTGCCCCTGGGTCTCCGAGGATGCAGTACTCCGTGCTGATTGTAATTTGTTCGCCGAATGATAATCATCGCTGAAAGTCAACAGCTTCAGATGCAGGAGGTTCTCTGCCATCCTCTAGGACCCCTTTCTGCCCCTCTTGCAACAAGCAATGGCTTGCCGCAAAAGACAAACAAAGCATAACTTGGAAGGGAGTTAGAGAAACTGGTTCAGCCAACAGTGGATAATCGGCCTACCGGATTGACAGTATGTCATTAATTCAGAAACTGAAGGTAGACCATCTTATATTTGGTGAAATTGCTGAAATGGCATTATCAAGAGTCTTGAGAGAGGGTGACGGTAGTAGCAGAATAGACGTTGTGTTTGACGTGTATAGGGACCTGCCAATTAAATCAGTGGAGAGAGAGTTGAGAAGTGAAGATTTCATCACATTTAAAAATGTTTCAAGTGGCCAGAAGGTTAAGCAATTATTCAGAAGCTTTTTGCAGAATAGTCAAAATAAAACCAGCCTAATAAAATTTATCGTTGATCACTGGAGTAAGCTGTCTTGCCAATCAAAGCTGCAACACAAGACACTTTATGTTACATGCGGGAAGCATTGCTACAAGCTAACAACAAAGAGCGCACAAGAAGAAGAGGAGCTGCAATCAGATCAAGAGGAAACCGACACCTGCCTCCTCCTTCATGCGAGACATGTGACAAAAGAACCATTCAATGCCATAGTCATCTCATCTGAGGACACTGACGTACACATTCTCTGTCTTGGTTTTTCAAAATGACATGAAAGTGCGGCTTTTCCAACGTTGCGTTTCACAGCAAATGGCCAGATATATAGACATCACAAAAATCGTTTGTGCCATAGGTCTTCAAGTATGCAAGGCTTTGCTTGGGCTGCATGCCTTTACAGGCTGTGAACTCAGTTAGCTCATTTGCAGGCATTGGCAAAGTAAAGCCACTGAAGATTCTTTGAAAGAACAATGAATTCCAGGAAGTGTTTGCAAGACTTAGAGAGGAGTGGTCAGTAACTGAAGAGTTCTTTGGGAAGTTGGAAGCCTTTGTCTGGGCTCTCTATGGTGCCAAAAAAGGTACATCTGATGTAAATGAGCTTTGCTATGCTCTTTTCTGTGCCAAGAAAGGTGAGGCGCGATTGCAACAGCTACCGCTGTGCAGGGAATGCTTAAAAAAGCACTGCCAAAGAGCTAATTACCAAGCTGCAGTTTGGAAGAACTCTCTTCACAATAATGAAGTGCCATCTCCGGTGGGCAAAGGCTGGTTTCTCGAAAGACTTGAAACCGACTGGATGAATGGCTTCCCTGCACCAAGAGCAGTGATCGAGCTAAACGCATGCACTTGCAAGAAGTCTTGTGATGGAACCACATGTGATTGCATCCTTAATGGCCTAAAGTGCTTAGACCTCTCTAGGCGAACAACGTGCTCCAACCAGTAAAAGGAAGAGGGAGACGTCATTGTAGAAGATGATGATGAAGTTCTCAATCCGGACGTAGAACTAACTTTATAAACTGTTGTCTTAATGCTTCAGATCGCAAGATGTCTTAACTGCATAGCCCTTGTGCTAATTTGTATGAGGCATTGATTACAGGCAAAAGGTTTAAGAAGGTCATGTACAGGTAATGGTTTGATGGAAAACAAACTAGTGGAAATAATTTATTGAGGAATGTGAAAGCTTTTGGACAAAAGAGCTTTCAGTGCATAAAACATTAAAAACAAATTAGAGCAAAAGCCGACAACAGGATTTTTTTAAACCTATTAATGGTGCTCCACAGGTTACCCAGTACTGCTTCTAACCAAGAAATCTATTGTAAAATAAGAACATCTTCAGACGTCTATGCATTATGTCAATGCGATGACATGTTTTACTAACATTCTAAACAGTACGCACTAAATGGTTAATAAAATGAGCGCCAGGAAAATGAACAGTTTCTAGCGTTACTGATTCAATCAGTAGAAATGATGTTGCTCTTACGAGTTATTAATTATATAAAGTGTAAGTTCATGTAGAAATTGTACTAAAAACGTAAACAAAGCTTGTTAAAGTCGTAGTCATATTATCACACTCTTATTTTCTCTTGGTTGTACAAAATACATAGCAAATTTGCAAGATACAGCTACCTTGTTGGTACTATCAACTACTGCACAGGGTGGCAACTTTCAGGTCACATGACAGCCTCAAGCTGCGAATGTAACCTTGCTATCACATATTTTCTTATTATGTATCACAAGAGCTTTAAGAAAATATATGATAACCTTTGCCACCTCAGGTGGTACCAAAATTTGCTTTGGCTCATAAGCTACTACAGGCCCCCTGCGATAACAATAGCTTTGATTAGTAAGGCTATAACTAGATCTGAAAACACCGCGCTCAATCAGTATCACTGCTGGCTGTAGTCAATTAACATTTGTCTCTTATTTTTTCCTTTTTACTTATTATTATTTTTCAGGCTAACATAGAAATAGCAAAGAACTGGGCATTAGCAAAGGTACAGGAGACAGAACGAGCTTCCAGTGTCTTACTTAAAGATGACCTGTTCCAGGCCTTTCATGCCGAAAATCCTGAAATTTTTCGTGATACATTACTTTCTTATTTTCGGCGATTAATGGGATGTTTAAATCTGTTATCCCACACAAAAAGGGGAAAGATACTTGGCTATTGTCACTTGTCTTTTAAAATTAATGAAACCAGTGAGTTGGTGGTTCAGAAAAAAGAGGGGACATCAAAATATAAATATGTGCTTGATGATGAAGTACCAATTGAAAGGAAAAAAGAAATGACAAAATTCAAAACAGCAAATGAAAGGAAATCTTGCCTGGGTGTTGCTGATGTACTTGAATATGATGAGTCAAGTGAGAAAGGTTTTATTGAGCTGAAAACAAAAATACAAGTGACAGTCAATAAACTAGTTCCCAAACACGGAGGTATAGTGTTGAAAATCCAAACCTTTTAAAGGAAAATTTTATTTGTGGAAAACAATTGTATAAACGTTTAAAAACGTTTTAAAACCCGAGGTGCCCCTGCTAGAGGCATCGGGCCACCCCCAGTATAGCAGGAACAACTGCAAACCAGCATTGTTTCGAGGGTAACTTTGCCTAAATCACATTTAGCCACATTAATATAAGAGTTGTTATTGTTATCATTACTATTATTCCTTTCATTTATATTAATTAATTTAATTCCTGGCTGGGAAATAAATTTCATCAGCTGGCTGGGTTCCAACCAATTTTATCTAGCTGGCTGGGAAATTTCTTGTGTGTCTTGCTGGGAAAAAGGAACAGATAATATTTTACCAGCAACACTGAAAAACACTTGAAGATGCCTTAATAACATTTATTTTCATTAATGGGGGTATAATAAGACATTTTACAACAAATTGGTCGTTGGGTGCCCCTGTCTAGGTTTCTTAAAAAATTATTTTATTACCCAGAACTGATTTCAAGAGGATTTTGAGCTCTCAGTGGTCCATTCGAATTTACAAGATGCTCACAGTTTTCCTGGTCACACTTTAAAATTCAATTCATTTTAATATTCTATTTTGTATGTTTTGTTTGGAGATTCCCGTCATTGCTGCCCCTTGACTCGGCAGTGGAGTTAGAAGAGTTTTCACAAGAGTTCAATGACTATCTCTTACTGGACGAATCAGAGTTAAACCCAGGGATGCAAAGATGAGCAAAACGCTGATGCAGTGTGGAACCAGCTACGGTTCCAGAGATTGGCAAGAGTAGCTAAATTGGTACTTACAATGCCTCATTCAAATGCTGGAGAGGAAAGGCTTTTCCACGATAAAGAAAAACAATACACCTTTTGGACCCAACCTCGATCCATCCAAGATGCTTGGCAGCATTATTTCCATTAAAATGGAGTTAGAACAGCCAGACCCATCGCGCAAGTTTGTGTTCCCACCACAACTCCTTAGTCCAGCAAAGTCTGCCACAAGGAAGTATAACACGTTGCACAGCTGAATGATCAGTAATGTGTGCATTAGTGGAAAGCAGTTTTTCCTTTGAACTTGACAAGCTGTATCAATAGTCTACTAAACTAGATTTGGATCACGTTGTGTTCTCGAGATGCCCTTCGTTTGCATGGGTATTTAAAATAATCATGGAATCCTATTGCGCAAAAATTCAGTTTGACTCTTGTTACGTATTTGCTATTCTATGAATTTAATCATTTACAGTGCGACCAGAAAAAACATGAACACCTGAAATATACCCGGAATATTTGTTAAAAGTCTAAAACCACAAAAATATCGAAAAATTTCCTCCAAATGAATCCCAAATGCTTGTCTAAGTTTGTTAAAAATTATTTATTACCCAGAACTGATTTCAAGAGGTTTTTGAATTGGAGGTTTTTGCAATGGGTCTTGCTGTTTTAACTGCCCACCGGCTGGCCAGAAATACGTTTTTGAAGGTGCGATACAGTATTTTGCTGGTCATCATCATCTGCTTTTAAAATTCAAAACACCAGCACCTTTAAATTGGTTTTCAACGTGAGCCTGGTAGGCGATGAAAAAACCCAAAACTTAGAGTGAAAACTGAAAAATTAATCTTTAAACTTCGCCTCTTGTTTCCCTCTTCCTTTCCACACGTTAAATATTGTGCCAAAGACAAACTGTGCTTGCACAGCTAGTGAATTTTTTGAAAGTTTTGTGGCGTGGTAGTCTTCGTGTCAATGTTGCGCCGATGTTGTGTGCAAAGGCAAAAAACAGGCACCTTTCTGAGGGCTGTAGCGGTCCCCTACGACAAACCAACCTTCAACTATGCAGAGCTGGTGAGCTGGAGCCATTTGAAATGGTTTACCAGGGCCACTTCGATTCGATACGAAGACAAGACGACCGCAGGTGTTCCTGGCCTTCAACTTGTTGACACACTGTGAAGTTGCACATTCGTACCATCCCGTCCAAGTTATTTCAAACTCTACATGAAGTTGGTGCTTTGCTGCCGAATTACCCGTTGGTGTAATAAGTACCGAATTGAAGCAGCAAAGATGTTAAACAACTGGCCAAAGTGAGGAAAAAACCGAAAAGAGTGTGAGAAAAAAAAATACACAAGATCAAACGGAGGTAGATCGTTCCAATCAATAGGAAGATCGTTCCACAAAATAGTCAGTTCATTGCAGAAAAAAGGCAGTTCGTTGCCCATATGTTATATCTATTTCTAGATGTGTAAATGTAGACGTGTAGAATGTGCTGCCTTTGCTCTAAACATCTGCAAATGGTTAGTCATTCGCATCTTCTCGGATAAGGTCCCGTCTCTCACATGCACTAAACTAACCTGGACCATAGGCGACCGTCAGAAGTTGCCTAACCCCAGTGCAGGACTTACAACACTATGCAGGGTCATAACACCCTCGCAAAACAAAGATCAAACATTGAACAGACTGTTTAGGTGATTTCTATAGTGCACGCGCTATCAGCCGTCATCCTCGTATCCTGTCACGGATTGTTAAAGACTCCACTGCACTGTGAAAAAATTGCGAGAAGCAATATCTGTAAGTCAACCAGAACAACTTAAATAAAATGTCTCCCACTTTTCAAATTTTGGGGTTGGCATCTATGTAATCCTGGTAAGACTAGTAGAACCTCTGAGGCTGTTTGCGCTCTCTGAGTGGGTATCTTCCCTTAAGCTTCTTAGGGATTGACGTTTGTAGCGTCAGGTCTTGCATGGACACATCTGGTGATGCAAAGGAAGTATCAGGTTTGTTATAATCCATAGCTGGTGTATAAGGTAACGTAATTCGTCACTCGTGATATTAATAGGTTAACAAAGAGGTAACAAGGGGTAACAAGGGTACTTAACTCAAACTCAAACAATTCGCTATCGCAAGATGCAGTTTACCACACATCCTCTGTGCAAAAACGTGCTATTTACACTCCTGACATTTTATAAAGCCAACAACCAAATGTTATCGATAAATCAGAAGGCTAAGTAGAGCAGTAACCCCAGTCCTGGTAGTTACTAACCCTGACTACTCTTGTGATTCAGAAGCAAGGACCACACCCATGTTCTGGCAAGTTTGCTCTTGAAGATGAGTTAGAATGATAGCTGTTGGAATAACTATGCCGTTTCATCTATTTCTCTTTCTCTCTCTCTCTGATATTTCTGTCGTGTTGGTGACTCCCCAATTGCTGGAGCAGGTGCCTACAGCTATGACCTCCCTTTATGCTGGAGGGGCTGGTGTTACAACAGGCATTTCGGCCATTTCTGGGACTAAAAGTTCTATAAGTTCACTCTGAGCACAAAGTCATAGTTATGGACCATGGGCATAGTTCTTCCTGATGTGTCTTCCAGTTTGTGTCTCCAAATTGGACCTATAAATTCCTGCGACTGATTGTTCCAACAATTGTTCCTGGAATCTATTTTGCTCCTTTGCCAAACTTCAAACAAAAACTGCTTTGTTTGATGTAAATGATCGGATTGTGGTCAATGAAAACGTTAAATGTTGTTTTGAAATTTTGAAGCATCACACTGTAGAACTCAGGCCAAAGGTCAGAAGTATTTTTCAGTACAGCCGTGAGTTAACACCTTACTATGAGCAGAGAAGCGTACTAGTAGAAGACAATGGACTAGCATTCCTAGGCGAATGGCTGGTAGTAATTTCATCTCTAAGAAAAGAAATGTTAGACAAATTCACAGATAGCACACTGGTATTGAAGGATGCCTGCAGTATGCCAGGGACGGACTATATTGGCCTCTCATGAATACCGATTTAGAGGATTTCATTAACGAGTATTCAGCCTGTCAATCCCAGCCAGACCAATGTTGTAAAACCAAGCAACTGTATCCAATCCCACCTTGTCCTTGGTCAATAATTCTTAGTGCTGACCTTTTCACACTGGGACAACAGTTTTTTAATCTAGTTGACTACTGGAGTGGTTTTTTCGAAGTCCAGAAAGTTAGAGTCTATGTCTCCGAAAATAATTGCTGCATATAAAGTCCAGCTTGCTGGATACAGCATACCAAAAGTGTCTATTACCAATAACGGAACTCAGTTTACATCTTCGGCATTCAGTGGATTTGTGAAGGGGTGTCAATTTGAGTAAGAGTCCCAAATACTCTCAATCTAATGATCGCACCAAAAATGCCATGAAGGCTTGCAAGAATCTCATAAAGAAACCAAAAGCTGATTGCAAGTCACGACATGCCAGTGCAACACAGTGTGTTGAACACTAGAACCTTTGAAATGTGGACAGGCTATCTGCGTGAAACTTTCTGGGAGGAAAGAATGGATCCTAGGGACCTGCACAAGAGTTTCAGAAGGTCCTATGAACGAGACGTACGCAGTAGGCGTTAGCATGTCAACTGTCGTCAATTATGATCAACCCTGAAACTCCCCCTTAACTGAATCCACCAAACCTTGAGCATGAACCACACAAAATCATTCATAGCCCTTCAGAAGCTGTGACTAAGCATGTCGTTTTGGAGCCAAGCCAACATGCTGGATCTGCAACCGCAAGTGAGCTAGAGTCACGTAACTCTAACACAGGAACGGAGAAAGAGCCACTGGTGATATAATGGTGCCGATCACACTGCAGAAGGCAACCACCTATTACCAAATTACTGAGACTTACTGAACAGTGAACACTGGTATTCTTGCTTTGTTTTGTTTTTTTTTACACATATATATTGAGAGAAAAATAATAAAATAATGTTTTACTATCTGTGTGGAGTTTTCACGGTTACAAAACACGACAGTCCTAAGCGAACTATTGATGAGCAGAGTTTATATTCTGCCGGGAAAAAAGGTGTAAGTTTAGCACCTTATAGCACATACTATTCAGTTCGTGTGTTCTTGTTGAATTTGCTGTCCGTTTTACAAGAACGTCTGCTCAAAATCGTGTAAAAGTCAGCAGCATAGGTTTATATCTTGCATGGATCGCTTTTAGCGCATGCTTGCAAGTCATTCCGTATCTTGTTTGTTAACTATGCAAGCAAGCAACATGAACGACTCCGTAAATGCTGAAAGCCATGCAAGAGAGAAACCACTGGTCCCAAGGTATCTCTGGACAGTTGTGGTTTATGCTTTCTCAGAGCACAAGGTTTAGCTGTATGTAACATACATTCTTTAAATTTATCCACTGATTTTTTGGGTTTTATCACGCCTTTGGATTTTAATGATTACAATGATGATTGGTTTATAGTGATTATAATGCTGTGCCTTTTAAATTTCAGTTTACAACTCAATCACATCAGTTTGTAAATGTGACCATAGTATATCACAGATAGGAGAGTAAGAAAGGCTTGATATTTGAAAGCTTTTGTTCTTTGTAACAGTCCACAGACAAATTTTTTGCTCTTCTTTGAGCCAAGGGATAAACGAAACGTCTCGCAAGGAAATTGGTATTGCTTGCGTGAAATCCGTGTTTAAAAAAACTCTTTTCTGAATTTGAAGGTGCATGATTTTGAAACAGCACAATACTGTCAACATTGAGACATTTGACCAATGGTTTCATAGAACCATAAGCATCATTACAATCATGAGCAGTTAGTGAAATAGTGCTACATAAAGTCATTATTGCTATTGAATAGTATCTATTACCTTGTGCTTTGCTTATCGCGAGCTGTAGGATATCAACACCATTTTATGATAAATATG